ATGAAGAGAAACTGGCTGGCTGGCTGACCGGCTGACCGGCAAGGAGGCAGAGAGACTGTGTTCGATGTTGTTGAGATGAATTGGAGAGTGAAGGAGATGTCTGTGAGATTATCAACATTGAGCGAGTGTTTTTGTTTCGGATGAACAGTACGATGTGCTGATAGCGTACTAAGACTGATAATGATGCTGAGTATACTGAGTGTGTAATGTATGTGGTTGAGTTGGATTTCGTGTGGATGAGATGTGTGTTGGAAGTTGTGTTGGTAGAGTGTAGCACAGTGTTGTATGTGGGTGTAGTTAATTGAGATATTTCATTGTGTAGAAGTAGGTGATGGAGATGTGGAGGTCAGTGTATGTGAGTGTGAGATTGTGTGTGTGTGCGTGTGTGAGTGTCTGTAGTGTGATTGTGGGTGTTGAGGATGCTGTTTGTGTTTATGATTGAAGAGATTGAGGAATGAGGTTGGTTGGTTGGTTATCTGGTTAGTGTGATAAGACAGGTTTTATTTATATTTAAAGGAGGGACCATGAGGCCTCCCCACTGACAAAAAGTACACGCCCGAGCACACCCGATTAGGGTCCATTGCGAGTTTCAACCCAGCGAGATGCAATGGTGAGCCTCGACCCGGGCAGAGCATTCTTTGTCACTCTGAACCTGGAGCCTGGTACGTTTAAGCACAGCCTGACACCATGCCTGTTAATCTGGACAGCCTTACTTCCAATTAACTATTTGCAAAGGATCACGCACCTCTACACTGAAACACTCCTGTCATCAAGTATTTTAATAGGTCAAGTAGCCCATTGCCGGCGAAAGTCGAAGTTTATTGTTTTCTCTACACGCATTTTGGGACTCTTGTTATTAATCACCTCTAATAACCTTGAATTAAACTTATGTGAAATAATTGAGAAGTCGTCATTAATACTGATTTTGTGATCCGACACTAATAAATGTTTTGCAGTAGACAATGATTACTTCTATTAATACTAAGTATATTTGGGAACATGTTCCCCCTTTTTGTTCTATATGTAAGCTTATAACCACCATTGCAAGTGATCTTCTAGATACAATGTGAAGTAAAATTCATAGGATTTCTGTTCTAATTAGTAGGCACAGGGAGTGAAAATGTCCAAGAGGTAAGGAATATGTGCCTCACAGGTAAATGAAGCCTTTGAGCTTCCAAATGCATAATTTGATCACCCCTATATGACATTTTATTAAAGGTAGTTTTCTTTGCCGCGGCAGCTCTCTTCTCAAGGAGCTGTCCGTCTTTTAAGTTTCATCCCACGAGGTTTATAGTTTATCAATTAGCTAACAAAACCCCAGTGTGAAGTCAGTGCTACTTACTATAAAGATCAGAGACTTGGCGCGTCATGAAGAGCATCTCAAACAAACTACAGACCTTCATCAACAGATGTCTTCGCTCAATACTTTGTTTCCTTTGTGTGGGAGTACTGTGATGAATCCTGGCCTAAATTTACAGGTAATACAGTTAGTGAAGTCCTTCGAAGTCATGTATTTTCAGAAGTTTGAACAACATTTCTGGTGCATCTTTATGCCTCACTTTCTCCACACATGCTCTTATTCACCGGAACGTCAAAGACAAGATGCCGCTATTGGCAACTTCAATGTGTATTTACCAATTCGCCAGCTCCTGTGGTGCCAACCACACGGGCAGGACATTGTCTAAACGTGCCCATGAAGACTTACAAGTATAGCTGTCAGAAAGATAAGGCAGAATTGTCAACAGTTCAACTCTGGAGCTCATTATTACTTCTAGTCAAGCAGCATCATCAGGGAATTCACTCAGAATCATTGAAAAGGATTTTGCCTACATCTTCTTAATGCAGCCTATGCCTTAGCATTCAATATGCAGAAACCTGAACTTTGCGTTGATGAAAGTTTCATCCAGACCCTTTTGCTATCATTTGCTATTATTTTTGTTACCCATTTTCATTTTGTCACCCTTTTATCAACATTCTTCCACCCAAAATGTTTGAACTGTATTCTCAAGATTATCGGTCTCAGTATTCCTATAAATGGTCAGTCTTTGTAACCCTTAGTAATATAACAACTTAGATCATTCTGAACATGCAGTTCCTACCAACTACTCCTTGTCATCACAAAAAATGTATGCTCAAATCTTTCATACAATTTGTATTTTTTTCGCATTGTCCGGGTTGTAGTCATTTGAGGGGAGAGGATCCCGAAAATTAACCCTGTAATTTCTTTATAGTTGGCTTTCAATCCAATGTCGTGAATTTTTCGAAGGAGATAAAGGAGGCAAATATCTTAAGGGATTGGTTTACACATTTAAGGTCAAACAGCTTTATGCGACACGATCTACTACTCCTGAACGAAGAGAAAATATCATGCAATCACCTCTGTTGAAAATTCTCTACACTACATGAACACTGTTCAGAATAAAGCTATTGTTATAGGTATAAAACTTAGGCATATCACTAGCTTCTTGACGCATATAAACTCACTGGTAAAGGGAATAAAATTCGAATTTGAATCAGAAAATGATCAAGGAGAATTAGCTATCATGTTAGATTGTAAAATAAAACGAATAGAAGGAGGTAAACTGCACACTAGTGTTTATAAAAAGCCAATGCAAACTGCTAATAGATATTTAGACTTTGATTCACCTCATCCGTTATCTCTTTGTGAAGGCAGGCTTAGTTAAGTGTCTAACAAACCAAGCGGTAGCACTAAGTAATACAAAAAAGACCTAAACTATGAAATGAAGCAGACAGAAGAATAGACGGTTGGTGTTAAATAACTAACTATCCTATAAAATTCATTAGGAATATCAAAAATGGTCAAAAGCAAAATGAAAATAATGGTGAAACTAATGATGACAACATAAATAAGAAAGAATATAAGGCATCTACAGTAGTTTTACCATATAAGGAGGGGACATCTGAGACCCTACGTAGGATTCTCAATAAAGCAGGAATTAGGGTGGCGTTCAAACTTACAAACTCACTCAAAGACAAGCGCTGAAGACTAAAGGAACCGGTGGACCCAATTAAACAGTATAACATAATTTACAAAATACCTTGCAATGACTGCGAATGAGACCAACTACTTAGGTCAAACTAGTAGATCGGGAGTAGTCAGACTTTGGGTACATAAGAATTTAGCTAAGGTTAGAACGGTTGACCCCACGAAGATAAGTAATTTAGAAAAAAACTCAGCAATTGCACTGCATGCATTAACACACAATCACACAATAGGGGGGAGAGGGTTAAAACTCTAAAAAGTAATATAGGTAGGTGGAGAGAGAGATTGATTACTGAATCCTGCCTGGTTCATCGAGTCTACACCCAACACATGCAACAGAAAGGACTCAATGCAAATACCAGCGATATGTATGGAAGATATTATTACCACCAGTCAGTCAAATCAGAGGAGGATAATAAATTATCTTAAAATTCTGTGTCAATTCACGTACATCATAAAATTCTAACAAGTTACTTATTATTTTGACTATAAAAACACTCGTCTCAATTCCTATCTGCTTGTACTTGATTGATAACACTAATATTATTATTTCTGAATGTACTTTATCTTATGCTAATTTTATTCAAATGTCTAATCATCAATTTCACTTATGTTTATAAATGAAGCAAGCAAGTTGTGTGAGTAGTGCCTTGATATGATTATGAGTGGCAATTATTTGTGCTTGAAAGGTGGTCATCAGTTAATATTACTGTATAACATCACTGTGTGACTTTATCAAAATAAAATTTTATCCATAACTCAGTGGAAGCTATTTCTATTACTATTATTATTGCTATTATTGGTTGTTATTATCACCAATGATATTCCTAATTATGATGGACTGGATTATGCGTCAGACAGTGGGAAACGAGAAGACAGGGATATCCTGGACCGACGTGAAGAACCTAGAAGACCTGGATTTCGCGCGTGGATGATTTATGTTTGATGTCACACAAAATCGAAGACTTACAAGAGAAAACCGACAAACTGGTCGAAGAAGCAGCAAAGACAGGAATCCAGGTGAACATAGACAAGACGTAGGTTATGAAAATAACCAACCAACAACAACAACAGCAGCAACATCCAGCGCCAATCACCATCAACGGGAGGGATTTGAAAGAGGTTACTTCATTCACTTATCTAGGGAGCATTGTCTCAACTACAGGACGAACGGACGAGGATGTCAAATCGAGAATCGGAAAGGCAAGAAACACATTCACCAACCTGAAACCAATCTGGAAATCTTCGTCACTCAGCCTGCATAAACAACAAAATTTGGATTTTCAATACAAATGTCAAGTCAGTCAGTTCTTCTATACGGATCAGAAACTTGGCGAGTCACAAAGAATATTTCCAACAGCCTGTTGCAGACCTTTATCAACAACTGTTTTCGCACTATACTGCAGATCAGATGGCCGGAAAGAATCACTAACAAGAAATTATGTGGAGAAACAAAACAAGAACCAATCGCCCGACAAATATGCAGGAGAAAGTGGAGATGGATTGGACACTCGCTGAGGAGGCCGCTGGGTGACATCGCACCTCAGGCCAACGCTCTAGTGGAACCCGAATGAGAAGCGGCGAGTGGTTCGTCCAAGGGTGACATGGAGGAGATCGTGTGAAGAGGAGTTGAAACAATATGGACTAACATGGTTGCAGGTGAAAAGTACAGGAGAAGACAGAAGCAAGTGGAGACGTGCATTTGAAGCCCTATGTTCCAATAGGAACCCAAGGGAACAATAATAATATTAATTATTGCTAGTGGGAAGAATTGTACGATATTTTTAAATCTGTGCAATCTAAATTCATTTTCCCAAACTCAAGAAAAAAAACACAATAAAGAATATGTCATTTAAAATTTTTATTTTCAATATTTGATTGCATAACAAACAATTTTTGATTTTATTATTTTGGTAAAGAATTATAACTAAATGTATGATTACTAATCCCGATCAACACACAAGCACACACACATACACACCCAAAAAAGGTCATTTTATTTCCCTAAACGTTGTGTATATGGTCCATTTCGTTTGGGTAAATTATCTATAGGTTGTTGATGTTGACGAGAATAACTCCATGGTGATGAGAATGACAACGCGTGAAGTGGTGTTCTCATGATATAATCTTCGTCTTCATTGGCAAGCCAATTGAGTAATAAATCATTGTGATCAGTTGTCACATAACACATAATTGAATTAACTATTAATAGTATAAGCAAGAGAATTGTTAAACACGATTGTTTGAAATGAAACTGTGTTTGAGTATTCATTGATTTCTTTTGTTTTTACTGAGGGAGAGGAATTGAAACAAAAGACATGTAAATCAATATAAAATACTTAGGAATAAATGTGGACTTTAATAATTTAAAATTTATTAATGTGAGTTGGCTGCAAAGGGATTAGAACCAGAGGTTCTTGAATTACTAGTCCGAAAGCCAATGGGTCTAATTTTGAAATGATCCGGACTTTTCATTTTACTTTTTGCCATCAATTAATAAATCAATCAACGTCTTCCAAACCAATGCTACCTTAGGCCAGCAAGAATTAATTAGTACACACCTACCGATGGTTGGCCGGAGGTCATGCTTCAGATTGTTCTCTGGGTGGCTTGTCGACAGTAACTAGGTATGAGTGATAGCACTTAACGAATTCTGTTATATAAGTATCCATGTTTGGTCAGGATGCATAGATTCTGACGATAGACTTCATATGTGCGATACAAGGATAGTCTGGATGTGGAACTGTTTCAAAACTGTCATGCATAAAGTTTCTCGAATTACAACAAGTTCTCCAAGCATCAGGTACTCATTTATGGTGAGTGTGAGGGTGTAGTGGCAACGGGAATAGTTAGTTGCACAAGGTCATAGTTTGTAATTTTTTGCTAGCTATGAACTGCGAACAGACTTCAAAACTTTTTGCAAACTTTCGTGTTTCCTAGTTGACTGATTAATTTGTGCTAGTGTTATAGATGACTGTTGGATGGTACTGGTTAGCAGTTCTTGGACATAGTCTTGAGTTTCGACAACGGTAATGACTGTTTCTTCGTTTATTGATGGGCGGTCGCCAATAAGGTGTGAAAGATCATCTGCGCGACCAGAATCTTCTATCCGGGGATATTCACTGTAGAAATCATACCCCCACCGGGATCACCATCCACAGTTGTAATCTATTTTTCGAGTGCACTGGATTAACAATTTTGCTCCAATTACAGAAAGGAGTAGCTAACGGTTTGTTATCAAGGTAGACCTTCTACCGTATAGCATTTTATGGAGCTGTCACTTGATGGAGGGAATTAAGAGCATGTAACGACGATGACTGCTGTGAGTCACAGACGGCATACCTTAGACAATAACCAGTCGAAAATGAGCACAAAATTATCTTCCAACTGTATAGAAGGAAAACCTTCATTGAAATTCTGTTCAACGTTGTCATTTTCAGACTAACCTATTTAGTATGTGAATATTAACTTGTGAATGCTTTTCATCGTCATAATTTGTTTTGTTTCTCTGATTAGCTTCTTGTAGTGGTTCAAGGTCTAAAATGCTGGTCAACCACGCATATGGTTTGGCTTCTATTCTCCACTGTAGCATCTAACCAAAACCTCGTTTAGCCAGCCAGTATTAAGACTGGAAAGGAGGAGTGATTGGGTGTGAGGCTAGTGATCCCAATGTGCAAGAGAAAAGCCATTACCTTTGGTGAAACGTCTGAACTCCATCTTGATGCCTTAAGTTCCATTGGGAACGCAGAATAATGAAAATAAACTCATCTACTACTGTTTCACATAACTTTAATTAACGTAGCTATTGAAGGTCACTGTCACTGGAATCTTTACATTTGTTAATGGCAAAACAGATGACTGACAGATGGCCTCACAGTATTACTAGTCCTTGTAGTTATTTACTTTTGAGATGATTTTACAAAGGTTTCTTAGAATATCAGTTTTATTGTCTGATGAAGTGCGCTTACTCATTAGTCTTTGAGAAACACTGACGAAAAGGGTTAGGCCATCTCTAAACGCGCTGTCGTCTTCACCAGCTTCTTGAGAATAACAGGTTCAGGTCGGCAGTTTAAGAAGTAAGTTTTGATTCAACACCAAACATGAAGAATTCTACCAGGACAAGGGTCAGCTTCTATGAACTTAAATCTGATGCTCGTTAGTGACTTGCTACAGGCTGGAGTTTCCTGGAGTTCTAGTGAGAAATCGTGACCAGTGAGGTGCATCCAGTTGGGATGTGGGATGGATTTCCCACCAATGACATTGGTTGATGGTCGCACTAAAAAATCATGAATTGGTAGAAGTTAGAATTCATGGACTGGTCATTGAATTGGGTCCCAGTGGCCGATGACTCCCAAACAAGGATAAAACAGTTTTCCAGTGCTCTCTGTTGGTTTTCAGTGGACCTATAACCAATATCAGTCCGCGATCAGTTCGTATGAATCAAATCTAATCCTTACAAAATTATATCACATCATTAAATGTGAACTTGCACATCACAAGTAAAATGAAATTCACTATGATGCTACGGACAGACAATCTCCACTAAACTTGTTTTTAAATTGAATCCTAAATAGAAATTACTGATAGTTAATATGCTATCGGGATAACTACTAAGGAAAATTAATTTTCAAGTGGCAAGTTCCCTTAAATGAACTTGATTAACCCTTTTATTGTAAAAATAATATACCAGTTGACTTTTAAACTCTTCAACATTGAATAGTATTAAACTTGTTGAATATTGAACATGGAATTAGGAGGTATATTTGACTTATTTCCCCTAGAATGAATAAAGATTACAAACACTTTTTTTCAAATATCAACTTGAAGTTAGAAATAAAGAATATGTATAGGCTGCAAAATTAACATGGTGATTTCGTAGAAACCATTTAATTATCTGTGACATTTGTTTAAATATATTGTCTTTGCTTAACATGATTAAGTTCAAGGTCAACGTCAAATTTTTGCGGTACCTTGAGAATCCCATAAGCTTTCTTTAAAAGAAACATAAGCAGACTAATTTTATAATTTTGTACGCTATTTTTACAGTTGTAGTGATAGGCAATAAAACTATCCAGGCTACAAATGGGATCGGCTTTTATTTTCATTCTGGGGAAGGAATTTAGAACAACCGATTATTGATTTAGTGTGAATGATTTCTAGTGAATAAGTTATTTGAATATATTTGAGTTTTCCAAGTTACTTTTGCTTCAACCATGAATAAAACGTCATAAGAACAAAGTAGTAGTGCAATAAAGTAGAAGTTTGAGTTAATGGTTTGGCGATAGAATATCCGCCGACCACGCCTCACATGCCCTGCGTTCGATTTCCCCCTCCTCCGAAGTACTTCTATACCTCAACTAGCAGCCAGCAAGCCTGAAAAACAGGGAAAATTAGGCAAAAGGCCAGCAACCTCATCCATGTGAAATCAAACCCCACCGCTAATGAAACTTTAAAGCTCATTAGCTTGAAAACTTAAGTTCCACTTGGAATGCAAAGAAATGAAAGCGGCAGTGGGAGATATTATGTCAGTCAGCTTCGTGGTTGGTCTGTAGGTCTGTGGACCTTTTCTGGAAAACCCGTAAATTCTGGGTGAGCATATTTGTTTTGCTTTGGCCTGAAGGTTTTAATTTATCGAGTATGTACCTAAGGGGGGGAGGCATGGATCAGATTCTCCAGTTATGAATCTGATTTAAACAATTAGTTTCAGAAGAAGCAAAGAGATATTGGCATAATATTAACAATGTCAAACTTACATGAATAATAAACGGTACTACTGACTCAAATAGGGATCGCACTGTAATGTAATGTAATATATATATATATATATGCCTCAATAAATCTACCTTCCTATTGGATATATTTAATGATAACTGTTTTTTCTAAATATGCCTTGGAATGACTAATCTTCAGCATTGAGAAAGAAAGTAAGTAAACATTTGTTTACTAATGTAATCACCATTATCAACATTGTTAAAAAAAAATAAACAAATATTTACACCGCCAGAAAAATTATGGATAATGCAATGCGATAAAACAAAACAAAAATAGAACAGTAAAGAAACTGATGAAATGATAGTGATGGTGATGGGGATTTTAATAAACAGGAAGTGTACAGAAAATTATGGGTTTCACACCTTTTTTCGGAAAATATATGTGCTTTATCGTTTTCCATTAATGTTATTATTATTCCCTTGGATTCCGAGTGGAACAGAGGTCTTCAACAACATATCTCTGTATCATCGTGCTTTCTGTAGGCCTCGTCAGCTGGCTGGCTCCATGATTGCCCGTTGGCTTTAATCTCTTCCTTGAATGATCTCCTGTATGTCATCCTTGAAGCGACGTCCAACTCGATGTTTCCCAACCGAGTTCCACTCGAGAGGTGGCCTGGCTTGAGCGATATAACTCGAAGGTCTTCTGAGCTTTTCATCAGAAATGAAGTCATTTCTCACCAAGAACTTGAACTTAGAACAAAAGTGTCACTAGAGGATATAATGCTGGGAATGCAGCTATGCCTGATTTCTACAGTATTTAAAATACAAGGGGAAAATATACTAACAAACTGAGGGAGTTGCCATGGGATCACCAATATCCCCTGTTGTGGTAGATATATTCCTGGGTAGGTGGGGAAACATAGAGATTGAAACGTTCAGCCCCACCCCAAAAGCATGGTGGTGGTATGTAGATGACACATTCACCATAATTAGAACACAGGGCGTAATAAATAGATTTTTTGAATGCATCGATTCGAATGTTTAGGCAATTCAATTCACTTATGAATTGAGAAGTCAGGAAGGGGACCTTCCAATGTTAGATTGCAGCGTAAAAAGGAAAGAAGACGGGAAGTTAGACACTAGTGTTTACAGGGAACCCACACATCCAAACAGATATTTGGACTTCTGATCATCCCATCCTATGTCAGTGAAAATAGGATTGGTGAAACGTTTAAGCGACAGTAGGGCACAAAACTAAGTAGTACCAAGGAAAATCTAAGACAGGAGGTGAGACATATAGGAGAAGCTTTGAAACTTAATAATTACCCTGATAAATTAGTCAGAAAGTGTGTAGGGAAATGTAAAAATGATATACATAATGATAGTAATGATAGTGATAATAGTAATATTAGTGACGACATACATGTCGAACATGCGCAGATAATGACAATACCAACAACGCGGAATAAAAATCATCAGTAGTAACTCTATACAAGGAACGAACCTCGGAAACCTTAAGCAGAATTCCTAACAAGACAGGAATAACAGTGGCTGGCTTTGA